TGAAGCCCAGGAATTGATTTTGATTTGGTAATATCAGTTGCAATTCTTCATAATTATCCAGTAAAAGTTAGGAAATAATTAAAAATCTTACCTGAAATTCGTGAGATTTGAAGTAGTATTGTTGAGCTGCAACTTGAGCGACTTGAGCCGGCAATTTCGGGCTTCCTTTGCAATATCCTCGGGAGTCTGTGTGCCTTGATCTCTTCTCGAGGATGTTAAATTTCCGTTGCCCCCATTGGCGAAAGATAACTGACCGTGGGAGTTTGTCAGTCTCATATTCGACGATCTGCAATTATTAATGAAGTTTATTAGTTCGCAGTAAGTAATTAGGAACCCATTATTGTCGGCATTATTTAGCGATTGTTGTCTTTCAACTATATTCCATTATTCAAGGACAGGCTGATTTAACTACATGCTTGAAAGCGGATCTGAGGAGTTCGGTGGAGCTGCTTCAATGTATAGTTAGGGACTTGACTGTGCTTGCAATATTATAATTGGCATCTGAAACTCAAGATGAAAACACTGTTGTTTCAAAACTTAACTGAGATGTGAAACTTATGACAAAATAAATTACTGCAATGCGCGTTTATGTTATTTCACCTGATCCATTGTAAAATTCGTATCGGACCTCGATGAGCTCATTGTCATATCAACAATTAACTAATCAGGGATAATCTTGACATAGGAGCTGTTCATCGAACTGCGCTGATATTAGGCAGATGGTTTAGATGGGTTTTGACGGACGCTTTTGGAATTCGTGATGCGTGGAAAATTAACTAATCGCCCTTCTATTTAGCCTGGACATTTCTCTGATATTTGCATGTCGGCCATGGGGGGTGATAAAAGCCCAGCAAAAAATTGAAAGTTAATTTACAGCTTCCATTTAAGCCGTGGACATACAGAATTTTAGAAGCAAAATAGCTGATAATTTCCCTTTTACAATTCAATAAACAGCCTCAACTTTTACTTTTCAATGATTTGGCATTCAATTGGCGTTCAGCAGAGTGAAGAAAAATAGTGTTACATAAATCAGGAATCATATTATTCATATTACTGCGGGCATCAGAATAGGGAAAAGCGAGTTTAATATTTCAAGGCCTATCAATAATTCCGCAACACCTGCGAACAAATATCTGAAATGGGGATTGGGGACAATTGAGACGAGAAAATGTGCTTTATGCCACCAGAATTTGTGGACAATACATGTGCCTAAATTGTTACAAATATTGCGTACAAATATGAGATTTTCACTCAACTAGTTTCATGTACGTCCGCAATTTTTCTACTTTCCGATTATATTGGAAGGAAAATGCTTAATGGCGTTAATGATCTTGAATTTTGCTGCTTTTAACACCAACTCTCTATTGATGTTCATTTAAAATTGAAACTAAAATCGTCATTTAAAATGACTAATTGAAGGAAAATCTGTTCCCTTAAAATTGAGTCTTACTGAGCCGGACGTAAAATAGAACTAGCTTAAATGACCATAATACGAATCTTGAAAAAACTACACGAAAACTTAGAAGTTTTTACACGTCTGTTGCCAATCGAGAACAATATTCTGCTTTATTTTCCAAAAATTCCTTCATTTCCTTCAGTTTCCTTATGATTTGTAACAGATCGACTCTATAAAAAAAAATTGATATAGACTTACATTAATAAAAATTGCCATTAAAGGGACATTTTTATAATTTATAACGTATGCGCTGCCTGGGAACTTTCCAACTTCAAGCAAATGAAAATTTTTGGCTGCAAACCTGAGTTAAATAACTATAAAGTGTAACGTACGTTAAGAGTCGAGCTCATCAACTTAAGCAATAAGAGAACCTCAAAGGAAAATACATTTAAAAATTAACCTTAAGTTAGAGACCGATTAGTATGTGACTTTAATTGTGCGGTTAAAAGTGAATAATAAAGATTAAGTAGTTCAATCTCGGAAAATCAACACATTGAGAGCGCCAAACTGCCAGCTCTGGACGGTGTAAAATAGAGCATCTTTGAAGAAGCAAAAAGATACCGCAATTAATGTATATTAATTTCTGAATTAAAATGACCAAAATAGGGCAAATGTAATCATTTCGAGTTAATAATTTTTCTCTTAGTTAAAGTGCAGGCTTGTTGTATAATAATAAAGGGTTTACAATATCATATTTACGATTGTGCTCAGTTTGAAAAATTCGCCAAAATTATTTATGTATCTAAAACAAATATTGAGAATGTCGCTTTTACATGAAGATGGGATTTTTTGTTCCACATAAGTCGAACAGTATTTACGAAAAACTACCGGTGGCACAAAAGCACACATAATATATAGTAAAAAGCGTCCACGAGAACAATTTTCTATGAACTGTTTTACTCTCCGACCACTTTAGAGCAATTCGATAGCATATTTTCCATTATCAGCCGCCAGTTAAGCAGTGCTGTCGATACTAAAATGAGATAATCCATCTTCCGCCAAATGGTCCTTAAAGAGGTTTCAGAAAGGACATGATTGCAAGAATGGCAGACAAAATGACAGAGGCGTTACGGCATAACAACCGTTGAAACTTCCCCAATAAGACTCTCGGGGGGATTATTAAATATAATCAATCAAAACAGAAGTTCTAATCCCGAGCTTTAAATGATTCTTGAAGATGTTTCCCCTTCATTAGACCCTAATGCTGATCTGAGAAAGTCGTCAAGTGGAGATTAGACAGTCGGTTTTACTGCGAATGGCAACAAGCTCCAAACATATTTGTTGGCGGAGTTTATGTATTAAAGTTTAGTCGAAATTTCGGGAAATTCGAGCAGTTTGACGCCAAATTAGTGGGATTAAAGTCGAGTAATACGTCTGCTAAACACAGACGATTCATCAGTATTTTCTAAAAGCATAAAATTGATATGACGGGAATGTTACAATATTTTGCTGGTTTCGCATTATTCTAAAGAGTTAATTAAATTTCATTTATTGTCTGCTTGCAAAATGTACTTCTATTAATTTTGTAGAGGGAAAAAAATGATTAAAATCCACATTAAAGATGGAAAATTCTATAAATGAAAGCCTGGGGAAAAACCGGGGACAAAGTTTAAAATTAATGAACCAACTTCAAATCAGTAGAACGATTGAAAGGGGAATTTTATTTTTTGAATCCCCAAAAGGGTTTTGCTCCAATTAAAACTAAATCTTTATCACACTGGTGCAGCTTTATGAAAAAAGCTCTAAACGTTGATTTGCGTTAAAACGAAAAATAATTACGGACAAAATTACTTGCTTTTGCTGACAACACCATTGCATTACAACATTACGTTCACCATACAATTACACTTCCATGGAAATTATTTACTTTTGAAATATTTAACAATTAAAAAGGCCGATTTTTTCCATTTAAATCTGGACTGAAATGCGAGCAAAAAATCACTTCACCTGCTTTCCATATGTTTACGAGACCATTGTATCGTGACGAAACGCTCAGCTAACAAGAATGAGATGTGACAGATTCAGTAGGTGTCTGCAAGTTTTTAATAAGCAAAAAACTTCCGCTCATCGTTGTTCCATTCAGTACTCCCACGTAAATCACAACTTTTAGCTGATAGGGAAGTTGGTATTAAAGGGATGGGAAATTTGTCTGAATGTCAATCTTTCCAAAAATTGATAAGGGTTGGGCAGGAGAAACGCTTCCCCAGAAGGGATATGCGAAGATTTTCTGGTTAAATGTGAAGGACTGATTCAGGTTAGTAAGGAGTATGGTTTTAGTAGGAGTTTTCAATTGTGAGTGACCACAGTATTTTTTTGAACATTTTAATTCCAAAACATGTTTTTTTTTGGTTTGAAGGAAGATGTAAGCTCGACCATCTAATTACTAGACACTCTGTATAATCTAGCACCTGATTGCTTTTTAAATAAAAATTTCATTCAAGTTTTTTTAACCTGCTCTTTGTGCATGTACATTTCAATTAAAACTGAAGTTTTTTTGCAAACATTCCGGTATCCTTTCGTCGTTATAAAACTCATTAATCGTTCACGCTTTTGGAGTATTTTCATTTACATGCCCTTGTTACTCTACAGCAAGATCTTAAGGAGTCCCAAATTAAATCTATTAAATTACGTTTAATTAAATTCGCAAATCCCCAGAGCCAAATATATTTAATGTTAAAAGTAAATTTGCAATTATGTTTTTGCTCTTTTACTGATATTGTTTTGGGACAAGCAAAACTCTTCAGGCGTGTTATTTACGCCATTTGAAATAATCCAGATTACGGAACGAATATTGAATTAGACTGTACTTGACGTCAAATTCTACCATTTTTACGAATGAAGATGCTTTCCTTTATTAATGTGCCATAAAAGTGGCATCATGCACAAAATTTTAGCTCTATCTTGCAAGTTCCACCTACTTAATAGAGTTCTACATCCAATTCTCTATCCAATGCTTGCTCAGATGGGTTTCGAAAAACCCATTTGAAAAATGTTTTCTTTTTATTTACACACTAAACACATTTTTTAAGCGGCGGTTTGCTGTAAAACTGTGCTCTATCCAGTGGTGTGCAATTCAGCTTCTTGGAACATTTGGTTCTTGATATATTATTAAAAAAGTGGAGCAATGGATAAAATATTTCTTATCGTGTCTAAGTCCCCTTTACTGAATCTCTCATTTCATTCTCTATCCAATGGTAGGAAAACGGGCTCTGTAGCTCTAACGGTTTTTAAAGAACGTTGAGAAAGCGGCGTTATGTTTGAGTCGATTTTGAACAACCAACAACCGCGCAAAATTAGGAGTTTTACTGATATTTTGGCTTTTGCGTAGAACACCAACATATTTTGCAAACGGTACTGCACCCCATAAATGTACTGGTTAATGCTTTATCCAGTGGCGTACAATTGAGCCTGCCAGCTCAGTTGGTTCTTCAGATATGATTAAAAAAGTGGAGCAATGCATGAAAGTTGGATTTTATCTTGCTCCTAAATGTGTGATTCTAAAAGATCACTCTTGGTGTAAAAAGCTCTTCAATTTCCTCACTTTAGTTTCACCGACTCATTCCGGATTTTTATTCTGAAAACAATGCTAGGAAAACGAGTTTTATATCTCAAATAGTTTTTAAAAACGTCGAGAAAAGTGACCTTTCTTGAGTCAATTTCAAGTAATATTGGGCCTTCTCGGTTTTTCGGTTCCTCTTGATATACGATTGAGAAAGTGCATGAAATTTTGCTCTTATCTTGAACCCAAATGTGTGATGTAAATTTCCGCTTTTAGTGTGAAAACTGTTACTATTTTTCCACTAATGTTTATCTTAATGCATCGGGTTCTTCAATGCATTTCTAAGACCGAGTTTCTCTGGCACAACACCAGTAAAAGCACAGCAAATTAGAAGGTTTTCTTTTATTTAAGTCTACTGAACGTTCAAGTAGACTTAGATAAAAACTACATTATTCCCATGGCTAATGTGTCTCACAATTAGGTGTTTTGGCCAAATGTTTCAATTAATTCTACCTCCGAGGAAGGAATAAATCTGGCGTAAAGCTCCAACTGGGATAACGCGGGAGACGAACATTGCCAACTTTTAATAAGTTCAACAGTTAGCTCTAATTGAGCTACGCATTTGTGAAAGTTTGGCGATGTAAAAAATTGTTGAGAACTGTGTGTGAGGAATGATTGGGCTGCAAATTCAAAGAAAAGTTTCTATATTAGACGGGATACGGGACTGGGGTTTAGCTGTATATTTTATGCGAAGTTTTGCTACAAACCGAACAGTTTTTTGGGTAGAAATAAAATAGAGATTCATGCAATTAAGAAACAAAATACAGTGGCTAACTACTATCTTTAAAATTTCTCAAAACTGTAATTCGAAAGGGTCAAACTTGAATAATGATCAATAAATCAAATCATGGCGTAAACGCACTTGCCAACCAGTGGCCTATTTCCACACTAATTGTAGGTAAAGTATTGTTCCGTATCTTAAAGTCCAAGTGGGCCACAAGCCCGAGTAATTACAATCCCTCGCAATGTGATTAGTGATTTTAATTAATCTGGAATTGACATGTAATCTAATGACCCCAACCTTGCGGCACTAAATCCAATTTAATGTTGTGAAAAAGGCAATAATGTTTAGCCAAAGAGTTAAGGCATCACATCAGAGAACAATAGTTGCATTGTTTCATGAAGCGTAGAGTTTTAACAAAATAACCTAGTAAATAGTCTCGCCTTTCGTTGCGGAAATATTTTAATATACTTACTCTCGCACGAGAGTGAAGTATGGGCTTAGGGAAACAAAGCGAACCTGACATCAGAAATTCAACCACATTTGATTGGTATCATTGTGAGGGATGCAAATAAGCTTATTGTATGAATGGATCTGCAAGTCATGCTGCCGGAACTAAAGTGGATTGTTTCAATTTGATCCAATTCACGAAAAGCCTACACTTGTCTAAATTCGCTGGAAATTAAGTTGAGATACAGACAAAGTTATTTAAAGTTGTTTCAGAAGTCAGAAAACGTCTGATTCTCCTTCATCTAAATTCCGCCATAGTATAACGTCTTAACCTGATAAATCGTGCGCTCCTTAAGAACCCGCTTTAACATGTAATCTTACTTGGTCTTGGGCCTATCTGGAAAATATGGAAATATTGAGATATAAATCGAAGACCTCTCCCATATAAGCCCTAATTCGAGTTTAGTTCCGTAATAAGATTCTTTCGGCCCCTTTATTATTTAATAAAGCTCATGAAAGGTTTCTGTGAAAGCGGATTTAGTTTCTTAACCAAAAGGCATTTTTCGAAGGTAAAGATAACGGGAAGAGTAACCCTTTTCGTAGGATTATAGATTTTTTCTCGTTCTGTGTTGGAAATCAGGTCATAAAGCTAGAAATTCTTACCGATCACCACTTCCAGCTGTCCTCCATAAAGCATTTTCAGGCGGTGCTGTTGGAGTGCGGTCTTGCTTGTTAGCGAAACGTCCGCCCAATCGGCGAAGCTGATCAGTGTCGGGGTGTTCTGCAGCAAATCGAGCTTTTTTCCTCAGTAGCTGAACGGTTAGCGCATAGCTGACCATCATAACGGTCATGGGAATGTAGAAGGCCACCAAGCTGCCGAAGACGAAAAAAGCTCGATTGTTGATAACGCACTTTTGTGGATCTGGCATGATGTTTTCATGGTTGATAATGCCTGAAAATAAATGCGAGAAAGTCAGGTGGAAATTTTGGTGCGGTTGAAGCTTCGATTGGTCACTGCAAGAACCTGAAGTCTCTAAATCATTTATTGTCCATGAAGCTTAACGAGTTCAAAACGAAGATTTCAACTCAATGACTCCAGAAAACGATTAATTTAGCACATTAAATTATTTATTGTGCCAAGATTGCCACTTCAGAAGCAAAGAAGACACGAATGGCTACTAATTCAATCTTGTAAGAATTGTCGTTCTTAATCCAATCCACCATCCGGGGCTCTTTATACATTCAACAACGCGTTAATATTCCTGAATCTGCATCATCTGAGTACCTCATTGACATACTTGCATTTTAAATTTGTCAATTTAATTTATGGCACAGCTTTTGCCTATGTGAACTCGAAACTAATTCCAGCGTTAACCGAGGTGTTAACAAACATACGGCTTGGAAAATGTAAAATATTTTAAATTAAAAAGACTCGGGGATTTTTGGCAATTCGAACATCCGCATCGAAATAAATTTGCCTCATTGCCGAATTTTCAATTGGTCTCATTTTTCAGGCTTCAATTTTTCGCGGAAAAAGTTACGACAACTTTTAAATGGATTCTACCATTTAGTTATTCATCGCGAGAATATCCGGATGAAACTCACGTGAGCAATCGCGGAAAATTGCAGGTTTTTCGCCAGAAATTAAAAATACTGTACATACATTTGCTGCTCATAGATGATTTACATTGCAAAATGCCCAAAGTGTATTAGTGGGGAATTGTTTCACAGCGCTGTAATAATTTGCCATTTTTTTACATTTGCGCGGAAGCATAAATAGTAGGAAATGTTCGAATTTAAAATGGTGTGGAGCTTTAATATTCTAGCGCCTCTTGGACTGGGATTCGTAGGTTCATATTTAAAGTTAATTTTTGAGAAATTATCTAGCAACTTTATTTTTTGTCTGTTTCATTTATTGTTCTTGAAAATCTTAAACAAGTATTTGCTTAGCACAGCAAAAGTATTTCTATACATGTCTATTGTGCGCCTGTTTAGATTATTAACTTAAATTTGGGCGTTCAACCAATATGAATTTTTACGCCATGTTTTCATTTTACCGGGTCGTCCCAAAAAAATCAACTTTTTGGTCTTCCAGCGATAAATTTTCTGCCTTGGCCCGCTTCTGACTGGATTTCATGCTGAATCCAAACCTTCATAGACGCATTAGACAAAAATACAAAATGCAACCCAATTAATTTTTTATATTGATAAAGAAAGCTGACTTTTTATATCCAATTCAACCCTCCCTATATCCACAACCGGTTGTTCCTAAGATAACAATTTTAAAACATGAGCCTACAAAAATGCTCATTAAAAATTGGTCAATGCGAGAAATTCCTGCTGGCGGTGGCGAATTGAAACTTTCAGGTTTTACCAAGACAATATTTCTCTATGTAGTGAAGTCTTCCGGACGCACCCAACTTGATTTTTACCAGAAATATGAATTTTCAAATATAAACCTAAAAAATTGCTTGTTGGAAACTGATCAATTTTGAAAAAATCCCCAGCATTTCTTGATATCGATGGAAAATCGAAACTTTTCCGATTAAAGATGAACAATTTCCTCTATTTAACGCAACTCTTCGGAAATATTCAGCTTGAGTGGTGTATGATATATGAATTTTAAAACATAAGCCTGCCAAAAATCCTGTTGAAAATTTAACAGTCGAAAAATTCCTCGAAAATTCCTAATGGTGATGGCAAATTGAAACTTCCAGAATTTATATAAGCGACTTTCCTCTATGGAACACAACAATCCACAAGTACCCAACTCCGCTTGATATTTTTGAGCTGATTTTTTTAATATTACATATTTTTTTAATAAGGCGACTGAAGTTTTAGCCTCAACTTCAACATGAGCCTTAAATTGCAATTAAAATTAAAAAATCGGAGAGATTAAAATTTATCACTAAAAGACCAAAAGTTTACTTTTTTGGAGACCACTCTGCAAACAAAGAAATTGGGCGAAGAATGGACATTTTTTTTGGGAAATATTAAATTTAGCCTTTTGACTGTGTCGTCGAAATACAAAAAAACTCTTTTTGGCCGACTGGGAGCATGTGGAATTTTCACCAATTTCGCATTGTTTCATTGACCAATCTGTAGAAAGATAATCTGAACCTTAATTTTTCAAAAAAAAAAGACTGTACCAACCAAAAAAAAATCGGTCCAAAATTAGTTCAAATTGGCCAGTAAAACGTTGATTTTATTAAGCAGTTTAACTCAGTCAGGATTTAAGTTACTAAAACGACAGTGTTGAGAGGTTACTTACTGTAGTATACTAAATTCTTATTTCTTGTCATAAAATTATTTTCCTTATACTCCCCTTGAATCAATCTCTTCTTTCAAGGCATGAATGCGTTTTATGGGCGGTATCTTTATTCCCGAATAACTTTATCTACCGGAAAATTACTTGAAAACCTTATATTGTATACAGTGGCCTTTTTAGTAGTAATCAAAGTTAGATAAGTTCTTTGCACAGAAAGCAGACATTCAGTAACTGCCTAACTGAACTTGTAACATTTACAACTTTCACTTCAGCAACTTCGTTTGACTTCTATACTAATTTTAATCAGCGAAAATATTTGCATATTTAATAAGGCTCTTTTTACTCACCCAGTACTGTGATAGAGCTAGATACTACCATAGATAACAACCAGGCAAGTCCAATGCGCAAAACGACGGTTCTAGTGGTAGTGCTGTGTCGCGTTTTCAAAGGATTTCTGATCCCCAAATATCTTCCAAGGCTTATGAAGCACATGTGCATTATAGAAGCTGAACATGCGAGAACGTCGCATGTTGCATAAACATTGCACCAGATTAATCCAAATGGCCATTCACCTGAAAAAAAAACGAATTATAACTAATTTTAATTTCAGCAGAAGTTCTAACAGATAATCGGCTAATGATGTGGCAAATGAGACTTTCAAATTGATCTGTTCTGTTGCCTTAATTGCATTTGCTGACATTTACCACTGTAATTTATACAATAGCTGTTAAGCAAATGATAGTTGAATTGCTCCAGACACTAATTTTATGAGCCCAAAACACATAGGCCATTTTTGTCTGTTATGCTATTCGCATCCACTAATTTTGCCTTATTTTAATTAATTTCATTCTTTGCTTGTTGAATATTGCGTTTTGCAATAGAAAACTTTTTATATCCACCTTGTTTCCTTGTCTGCGATGCATGTTCGATTTTTGTTCCTTTCTTTTTTACTCTTGGAAGCAATTTCAAGATGAATTTTTTAAATTGTTTCTGTTGTCTCTGCTTGTTTCTGTGGCATCGTCCTCAATCCTTGTTTAATGCCAATTACCTGCTTTTGTACTTTTTACATCAAATAACATTCTTGATTGATTAACTTATATTCATTGAAATCTTAAGGCAAGCATGAGATTATATTTATTTATTTAAAGGCGATCTATAACTAATTTTTCTTCATAATATGAATTACTATTAAGCTGTTCTGAGCACGCTTCTATAACATTTTTTTCAAGTTTCAAAACCATAAATCTACAAATTACCCCAATTTGGTACTCTAAAAACAATAAAATTAATCGATGCAGTTCAGATTCTGCAACAATCCGCAATTCGCCTAACAAAGCCGACGTCTTGTAAAATGCCATGCAAGAGAAAACATCATTATGGTAAATAACTTGATAAAAGAGCGTTCATCAGTTGCGGAAATCCAAAGTTTCCAAACAAGCCGAAAGGAAACTATAAAACAAGTTGTGCATAAAGGAACAAGGGAATGGCATTAGTGTTCTAATATGTATTCGAGTAAGTGCTTTCTTTTCCCGTAAAGTTCGCCTGATTCTGTTATTTCGCCGTAGAATGATCAATTGTAAGCCCGAAAAGAAATATTTTGCTTTTACTTAAAAAATAGTTTGATACAATCACGGCAAGACTAAAATATGTACATATCGAAATAACTGGAACTTGAGTTGATTGAATATCGGATACCGGCTTGCATCCGGCATGGGGTTTATCTGGAATTCTATTTTGAGCCTGAAAAGAAACGATTTCAGCCTTTCATGTCACGTCGAAGTGGAAACGACGACTTTTTTCTATCAAAATTGAATCGGCTTTGAATGCAACGACTGTTCCCGGCTTGTAAAGAAAATTTACTGGAAAATTTAAATAGAGCCCATTTTTAATTTGCACTGCTAACTTTATTAATGAATTGACACATCATTCGTTTAGAGAAGTTTAAGAAAATAGCGACAAGCAGGTAAAAGCGCCGATAACTTTTAGGTAATTTTTTTGCCATCTGAACAAGACAAGCTAGTTTAAGCGAATAATGATACGCACCCGGCGAATGTAACAATAAATTTTTCAAGCGCCTTATCTTCATTTCTAATATTTATCGTTTGTAAAACGTCCTATAAATCAAGGGAGGTTTTTCCTGAAGCGAAATATTCGCTGCTCCTCTGATTCGACGAAACCCCCAGGATCCAGCCGTCAGATTCCAACTTTCGGACCGATGGTACGTTAATGAAATATCGTGCCTAATGGAGCTTTAACCGAAAAAATCTGCCCTATATTTGCTACGGAACATCTGTATTAAATTCGCAGGAAAAAATTGCCTGTTGTGCACAATTTAGCAGTGTACGATACGCATGTTATTTTTAATTGGGTTAAATTTATATTTTGCTTTGATTAGAACTTGTACATTTGTAAAACGTTAATAAGTTTGTAAACTTTGCTCCTGCACATGACAACTTGACCATATTTTATGCAGAAAATTAAAGGAAATATTTCCAGTAATATGTCAATTTTATGATGCCATTTGTCCATTTCAACTGCCGTTGTTACTTCCACAAATTTTATTTCCTGCATTATAAGATCATAACTGCAAGTGCAAGAATGCCCCGCCGTTAAAATGAAAGCTAAAGTTCTTTTATTAAGGTAACTCTGACGTCTATTCATTTCTCTGCTCTTAAACGTGACACTTAATGATTTAGTGCTCCCATAAGGCCAAATAGAGCTGATTTAATAGGTTTATATAGCGGAATTTCAGTGTGTTTTGCCGTAATGGGTCGAAAACAATTTCTGTATTGGTAAATATACCATTTCCTACAATACGGCCAAAGTAAGATTGGCAGGGTTTGGATCACACGTGTGGGTCAAAACGGATCTCTCCATTTAACCGGATCCTTTGTAAATGGACCAATTTTTATCGAATAAACGGAAGGACCGGAAAATGGGGGTAAACTAAGCATTGTTTGTCAAGTTTTCAAAGTAAGATCATGTTTGCTGTCTAACATGTCTCTTAAGCAATTTATTAAACGTTTATCTTGAGTAAGCAGGACAGATGTATGCATGAGCATTTGGGTCTTCGGCCATTCAGAAATGTTCCGATATTGATTGTTAATTGAGTTGAAAATTTGATTTCCCCATAAATAAAGGGCACACTAGTCCACCCCAATCGATATTTATTGATGAAACATAAAAATTCTGCAATTTTTCGACATGCTGCAGTAAAAAGCTGCTTAACAGTGCACATAAATTAATTTATTTTATAGATTCCTTTTCATATCGGATGTTTAAAGCTGATGTTCAATTAAAGTCAGACTTAATTGAGAAAACCGGGACACAACATGCAATTGGAGCAAGTTAGCAAATTGCTGTTAAGCATTTTAACTCCCCTGAAAAGAGCTAATTGATTAAATTGGATGTTTCAATGTTCCCTCGAAGAGGGCAGATCGGAGATCTTACTTAACGATTTTTATAAAACGTAATTCAAAGTGATTGTTGCGCTGTATGCCATATAAAATTGGTTTTGAATTTCACCCTAATCTGGAAAATTGTGTGGAAACTTAAAACAATTAGTATGTTAATTAATTAGGAAGTTTTCAATACTTTTTCATTTCATTATCAGAATGTCACTGCAAACAGAAATTGATCCTGCTTTCATTATAGAAAGCAATTTTTCTTATGGCAGCGCACACATTCATCTATCTTCCGCCTGTAATTAATAATACGGCGGAAGAAATCCAGGATACTGATCTCAAATCCCATTAGCCACGTTGATGAGGAATTATTGGTAATGATAAGTATTTTTCAGTTTCAGTTAGCGTCTGGATATCCGTGCGCATAAATGGTTTCATTTATTGTGATTTTTCACAGAATTCAAAACAAAGCAAAATAATTTTTCATAAGTTTGTTATAACTTGCTTTTTAACTTTTTGACTGAGTCCCGGAATTTTAATCTTAGAATTAACTATGCTGCCGATGGTCGTACATGAAAATCAGTAACTTTTGCAGTTAAACTAAAATTCTGCTGCTTTTAGCCGAATTAATAGGAATGGGACTTGAAGCAATATTGGTCATCTTCTACCCGATTAAACGATTAAACAAAAACTTTTTTTTTTCAAATGTGATTACAACACAAAACTTCCAGAATGAGGTTTAAAATTGTTCACCTAATGGCGAGTCACAAATAAGTTAGAACAAGAAAATTTTGCTCAGGAAATATTGGCAAATTAACACAACAGAATAAAGCAAAAGTCAATGAAACTAAGATGGCAATCAGTAGATTCAACACTTTTTAGGAGACGATTTTGGTTTCTAGCAAATAAATCAACATTAAATTGAGTCTATATCTGCATACCTCGAAACCCTCTCAAAAATATTGCTTTAAAATTATTCTAAAATTTCTTCATCCAACCGACGTGTAAGTAAATTTAAAGTACATCCCTAAAAACACAATCTGTATAATCTAAAGAGCTCAACAAAACTAATTTCGAGTCTCGCTCACGCTCGGTCCCTTCTGGCAAAAGGATGGTCCCATAAAAACAAAATTTCATGTACTTATCTGTAGGACGGGTATGGAGATCTTTTATAAATGCCAACCGTGTCATTACAGCCGGTAAAAATTAATCTTTTTCATCTTTTTAAGTTGGCCCCTTTTTCTTTGGTCCCGAACATGGTTTTCTTAATTGCAAGGATGTGGGACGATAGGAAAGATTTATGCGTTTGGCGTTTTGCTGGATTTTTCATCCGCTTCAAAAAAGTGGAAACTTGTTTGCTGAGGTAATAGTTTTAAAGTGTTCCGCCATAATGTTTCAGTATCGCGTTATTACAGCCGTTTTGTTTGCTGCTCGAGGAAAAGTTTTCCTGTAGAGGATCAAAAGCACGACCTTAACTTGCAGTAAACTATGCCCGAGAGCTTTTTACTCGCACTCCCTTAATTAAATGTAAAATGAAACATAAATTGAAAATTTTCCCAATTAAATGATTATCTGTCGCAGTTGTTTGCAAAGAACAAAAGCTCTGCGAATAACAGATTAATTAAACTGCATTAAGCTAATGAAACAAAGCTGATGTCGATATTAATGGAAAATAGTATTTGCTTAACGGTTTCCAAAATAATATCTTTACTTTAGTGAACGACAGCACACCAGTTGCGATGATTGAACTGGAAAAAATCGGATTATTTCAAATTTACATTCGAATGAACCTGTGTTTTGAACTGATTTCTAACGAAAACAACGGAGGCTTAAATATTAATCGAATTCAACTTTTGATACTTTCCGCGGCAGTTTCCCCTGGGGTATTTCGTCGGTTTCCTGATATGTGATTTTAACAGCCCAATTTTTCATACATAACTACCCGAATGTTTACCTGGTCAATAAATTTATCTCCGGCCATTCGTCCGCAAAACAAACAGTGTTTCTGAGCGGAAACCCTACAGGCCAATTATTTCCTCAGATTTATTATATTTGAGTAAAATAGCCGGCTCCGATTGCAAATGACGAATAGTTTTCAACTTGGGAGCTAGCCGAGTTATCCAACCGGTAAAGTTCGGTTCATATGGGCATATCAACTCCTATTTACG